GTCTGTGTCTGTGTCTGTGTCTGTATCTGTGTTTGTGTCTGTGTCTGTGTCTGTGTCTGTGTTTGTGTCTGTGTCTGTGTCTGTGTCTGTGTCTGTGTCTGTGTCTGTGTCTGTGTCTGTGTCTGTGTGTGTCTGTCATGTCACTCTGTTCGATTGCCTCTGCTCACACATGCATACTCTCCCACACTCACAGGCCAAGTCTTTTTAGACCTCTGCAAGCGTATCCATGCATCCCAAACCGCTACGAATAAATCTATAAATAGATCACAAACCGGGACGCAAACCGGTAACACCCGCTGCTCCCCTGGGCTACCAGATGCAACGGCTATGTTATGGGAGCCAGATATGGATGAGTCACTGAGTGATCAAGATGATACACTGACCGATGCATCCAGTTCGGAACCTGCTAAATATGGTAAGATTAGATATCTACCAACAGGAGTCTGCTTGATACAGCTGTGTATTGTGGTATATATTTCTTAGTATGTGTATGTAGTGTGTGCGTTTTGTGTACATTTTAATCGGTCAGTACTTACATACCTCACCACCATTCTATTTATAGACACCGGCAACCAACCAATCAGAACAGACCTGGCAGCCGAGCAGTGCATGGAGATACTTTGTGGCATTTGGCACTCGCAACACATCAGCACATGCGCAGCAGACGACACCACGGCAACGGCTGTGGATAGTGACCGAGTGGTGTCAGTGGTAGCCACATGGACGCAAAGCTTAAGGTCAGTGGCTGTGCGTGTGTGTTCATAACGAAAGAGAGAGTGTGTGTGCTGTTTGGTTAAGTAGTAGTGTTCAGGTGAGATTGGTATGTGTTGTCTCAGGTGTGTATGTTTAATACAGTGGGTGTGTGCACTAAAGCGGTGCTTCATTAACTCTCACATGAATGGATTTGTTTGATCTATCGTTGGCTCAGCTTTGCCTTCACTGTCAGTTGTACTTACGCGCAGTCGCTGCAATGGCACACTATATAAGTCTATAAATAGATCACATAGCTATACCTACGCACATACTAGAAAACTATAAATAGATCACACAGTTGTACTTACCCATACGTTGTAAAACTATTTATAGATCACACGCAGCGCTGCAGTTGCCTTCAACGACCCCATCAGAGCACTCGAAGGCCTTGGACACCCTGTGCATTGCCATGACAACGGTGGCTGCCTACGCCAGTGTCTACTTCGAAGAGATTTTGGTTCATCTGTTCACGGCGGATTCGTGCGACAAAGACGCGCAGGTACACGACACCAACGACACCGAAATGACACTCTCAAGCACATCAGCCAATGCACAGGTACGACCCCGCAATCCCTGAACCCTAGAGTACCCCACGACGCGCGCGAGGGTGTTGCTGTGAATGGGCGTGTTTTGACTTTCGATAGTGATGGAACGCACGTTCATGTGGGCGACACCACACCCTTCAGCAATCGCATATGTGTTGGTGAATGGGTAGGGTTTTAGAGTTTTAGAGTTTTAGTTCAATGACAAGCACCCCACTCCCAGGTGCCCATTCATATGCGAACGAGATCCAATACCCTAAACCCTAAATTCCAAACGAGATAGAGTCTGCGTGTGGATGGGCAAGCTATCAATTGGTGCACCCGTCTCCCGCAGGTCGGCGGTTTTGTAGCTTTAAGGGTTTTAGGGTTGCACTGAGCACATTTGTCTTTTTATCTCTGCTGATGTACGTGCATGTTTCACAGCCACTTTGCTTTGCATCACATGCCGCCTTCTCATCCATGTTTTAGAGTTTAGGTTTTTCAGGCTGTGTAGGTAGATTGCATTTGTGTAATACACTTTACAGACTAAGTAGGTAAATTACATTCTTTACAGTCTGTGTAAGTAGGTTGCATTTGTGTGATACACTTTGCAGACTAAGTAGGTAAATTACATACTTAGCAGTCTGTGTAGCTAGATTGCATTTCTGCTCCTGATGTTATGCACATGCCATCCTTTGCAGTTTGGCTCACTACTCCAAGTGTTGACACGTGTGCTGCATATCATCACCACGTCCCGTGATGTCTCTGCCGGAGCACCTCAAACGGCGCACGGCCGAGGCGCGGTTGCCATAGCAACGGGGCTTGTGCTGGATCTGATTGGTCGATTGGATCCGGATGTGGAACAAGTGCAACGCGCGTTGGAGTCTCTATCAGGCACAACCTCTTCGGCGGCCGCCGATGGTGTGGCTGTACAGTCGCCTGAGCACACACACGCACACACACACGAAACTCAATACAACTCAGCCTGTGCATCTATGCTGTCACACAGATACTTGGCATCACTGCTGCTGCAACGACTGCCGCTGCACCAACTACGCCAGCTCATGGACACCACACTGCACAAAGCCACACAACGCATGCACGCCCAACCGCCCGTTACTATGGCAACGGCCACACATCCACCCACAGAGACTCCCTCAGGAGCCCACACATCACATGCCACGTCCACGAGTGAGTACAACGTGTCAGCGCCATTGGACTTTGTTGAGGCGTGTGTGGGCCATCCCTCAGCACACGCGCAGGCAATCGGACCGCAGAGAGGTCATTACAACGACCGCACCCACAACCACGCCTTCACACCAAACCAGGCACACGCCATAGTACAACTGGTAGTGCAGGAGATGACACAGCACACGCACCCCACACGCACGCATACAAACACAGACACAGACACAGACACAAACACACACACAAACACACACACAAACACGCACGACGAGCAGTACAGGGCGGATAGCACGGACGGCAGAGAGGTTTGTGTTGTGTGTAGTTGTGCTATGTATGTGTGCATATGCAGTGATGTGTGTGCATATGCAGTGATGTGTGAGTGTGTTCTTTATCTGCGTGTGCTACTGTATAGAGCTATCGCCTCCTTTCCTTTGCCGCATACGTGTTCACGGCGCTTCAAAACCCTAAACTCCTATGACCCAAGAGCCAAACACACGCACAGCAAGAGTGTGCGCACTCATCACCACACAGCCTCAGCGTTGTCTGACCCGCCACCTGCGCGCACACACCCACACCCCTTCCCACATTCCTCTGCATACCCACCATATGCCTACCCCTCTAATACCTACCTACCTTTACCCCGCAGAGCCTTCCCCTGTCTGCATTGTCGCGGCTCAGCCTGTTGACTCATGTGGTGCGCGACCAGCCACTCAACGCTGTGTGTGTGTGTGAGTATCTGTTGGGAACGGCTGTGTCCACTGCCACGCCCCAATCAGCGCCAGCGCCAACGACACACAGACGCCCCACGCTGAAAACCGCGTGCGAACAGCTGCTGAGTGCACTGTGCATGGCTGACGCAGACTTCCCGCGCGCAATGACACGCACCAGTACAGATGCTTACGACCTCGGTCTGTTGTGTGCTGTGTGTTGTGAGTTTTATGTTGAGTGATGTGTGTTGTGTGTTGTGTGCTGTGAGTTTTATGTTGAGTGGTGTGTATTGTGTGTTGTGTGTTGTGTGCTGTGTGCTGTGTGCTGTGAGTTTTATGTTGAGTGGTGTGTATTGTGTGGTGTATGTTGTGTGAAACGTATGCACATGTAGTGCTTGTAGTTGCGTTACACATCCCCTCATATGTACGTGTGTCTGCTGCCAATCGTTCACCCGCTCAATCCCTCCACTCCTGTGTACCCACAGCGTCACAGCACCACATCAGTTCACTTGATCCGACGGTGCATCGGTTGATCAAAGGTCTCATTCAAATGGTCGAAAGCCCAGACCAAATGGCCACGCCACAGCAGCGACGCGACAGGACCGAACATCAGGTGCGTGCTCAGGCTTAACAGAGTGCAAACCCTAAGCCCTATCATCTCCTTCATCGGAGTCTCTCTCATTCTTAACAGAGTGCATGTGATGTTTTACTACCACCTACTTCATCTGAGTCTCTCTTGGTGTGTGTTGTGTGTTGTCTTGAGTGCCGTTTGTGTGAACAGGCGAGAGGGCTGAGCTCAGTTGGCGCAGTGTACGTGGTCTTCTGGGCCGTCGACACAATCCCAAAAACCCTAAAACCCTAAAGCCCAACAACTTTAAACTCCAAAAATCCTAAAAGCTTTAAACTATAAAACAGAGAAGACCACGTGCAGTTGGACATCCGAGACGATGGGACTGTACCCTTAGACGTAACCCACGATACTAAAACAACACAAACACAATCACCCACATACGCACACGTATGCGCACATGCACACGCACATGTACACGGGCACATTCACAGATACACTCATATGTTCACATACACAAACATAGATACACTCACAGGTACACAATACTTACATGTATACATATACCTTCACAGATATACTCACATGTATACATACACCTTCACAGATACACTCACATGTACACGAACACCTTCACAGATACACACATGTATACATGCACATTCACAAATATACTCACATGCTTTTTCTACCCCCTTCCACTACGGCAGCGTTCTGTGGGCACGAGGCTATTCCATCAGATGCGCAGTCTGGCACTGCAGTACCCAGAGGTAGTCATAAGACATGTGGCAGGCATAACAGCTGCATACAAGGTAGGCAGCAAGCTGTAAGTGGGTGTATATGTACTGTGATCTGTCATGAAAGTACCCAGAGGTAGTCATAAGACATGTGGCAGGCATAACAGCCGCATACAAGGTAGGCAGCAGGCTGTGAGTGGGTGTAATATGTACTGTGATCTGTCATGAAAGTACTGTGTGTTTTTTCATTCTGTCATACTTTTGTGTTGTACCGGTTGTTTGCATGCATGCCTGTGTGTTACTTGTTCCTGTCATGTTTTGTACTCCATTGCCGACCCTTTCGTATTGCCATTCTCGTATTTTGAAACCCTAAATCCCTATTCAAAACCCCTGAACTCCTAAACCCCTAAAAAAATACCACTAAACTCCTTAACTCCTAAACCACTTGAATTTGAGTTTGGGGGGGCAATCAGTTCTATAATAACGCATTTGATGTGACACGCTCAATGTGACACGCCCGCTGTAGACGTTTAGCGTTTAGCGTTTAGCGTATAGCGTATAGCGTATAGCGTATAGCGTTTAGCGTTTAGCGTATAGCGTTTAGCGTTTAGCGTATAGCGTATAGCGTTTAGCGTTTAGCGTTTAGCGTTTAGCGTTTAGCGTTTAGCGTTTAGCGTTTAGCGTTTAGCGTTTAGCGTTTAGCGTTTAGCGTTTAGCGTTTAGCGTTTAGCGTTTAGCGTTTAGCGTTTAGCGTTTAGCGTTTAGCGTATTAGCGTTTAGCGTTAGCGTTTAGCGTTTAGCGTTTAGCGTTTAGCGGTTAGCGGTTAGCGGTTAGCGGTTAGCGGTTAGCGGTTAGCGGTTAGCGGTTAGCGGTTAGCGGTTAGCGTTTTGTCCCTTCTCCCGTGCTGTTGCCTAAACGGGGGACCCTGTCCATGCGCGTGCGTGCTTGCCTGCGTTTTGCTTTGCTCAGGTGCGGTCTAACATGGCCATAGACAGTCTGGTGACGCGTGGCTACGATAAGCTCTACGCCTACTTTCTGCAGATGGTCCTCATGTTGGCTCCAGATATCTTCACATACGGCACTCGCTCGTCGACAGTATGTCTGTGTACTCACGTGTCACATGTCACATGTCACATGTCACGTGTCACGTGTCTTGTGTGTGGATTGTGTGGTGGTGCACGCGCATGCTGTGCCTAACTGCACTTGCTTGTGCTTATGCTACTTCATCTTTAGTTCATGTGATGACACATGTTAGAATCAGGTGAAAATAAGGGCCAGTCTAATTGTTATGAAACAGGGGAAGAATAATTCGTATTTTAAGATCAGGGTTTAGCGTGTTAGGGTTTAGTTCGTCCATCCTTCTGACTCCCCTCGTACTCATCTCCGCCGTGCTACACCCATGACAGGAGGACGGTGTGTGTCCCATGGCGTCGCCTGATAGCCATGACTCAGGTGTCGCGGAGGACTGGTCCTTTGCCGTGATCATTGACATGTGTGTTGATATCTTCACCATGTGCTCGGTATGTTTACGCGGTAGGGTTTAGGGTTTAGTGTTAAAGCCTTTCATCCCTTGTGTGTGTGTGTGTACTACTGTGGGGGTGGTCTCTGTATTCGCCTGATCGGTCACGCACAGTGTTTTGCTGCACTTGTGAGGTTAATGCGTTTGTGCGTGTTTTCTATCGTTCTCAACATTTCTATCGTTCTCAACATTGGTTTTGGGCATTGGTTTTAGGGTTTAGGGTTGGGGCGGGGGGTTTGCTTTCGCTAAACCCTAGTCCCCATGACATCGGTCGTTTGCTGCACGTGTCCGTTTTCTGAGGACGACCACTGCGTTCGCTTAGTATCCGATGTTATGTCCGCTTTTGTATCACTAAATACATATTCACACTCCCTTATTTAGCCAAAGAGTACTCTCACATGTAGTAGGTATACCACGTCACAACCACCCCATCCCACAGCTGAACATACTCTCACGCATTGTGTTCAAATGGACCTGCCCTTGCACCTCTCCTGCTCACTCGGGTGCATGCACCTGCCCTGCGACAGACTGGTCGCTACAACCCACAGATGAGTCATCTGCTGCGCACTGTGGCGCAGGTGCTGCACAGCTACATCGCCTTCTCCACTGTCGTCGGCACAGAGACACTCCGACCGCACACAGCACTCATCACAGAAGTACGTAACACATGGCCAATGTGTGTGTCTGTGTGTGGATGTGTACGTATGTATATTTTTTTGTGTGGGTGTGACTGTGTGTCTGTGTGTGGATGTACATATATATATATATATATATATATATGCATGTATGTATATATATATGTATGTATATATATATATATATGTGTGTGTGTGTGTGTGTGTGTGTGTGTGAGTGTGTGTGTATTTGTGTGGGTGTGTGTGTAGGTGTGTGGGTGGATGTGTGTGTGTGATGTAACGCATCTGCATGAGATTGTGTGTTATTGTGTGTTTATGTGAAGAATAAGAACATAACATTGTGTGTTATTGTGTGTTTATGTGAAGCATATGCACCTGACATTGTTTGCGGTCCTTCATTCGTCTGATGGCACACTTTCGCACTTCCTATTGCGCTAAAAAGAATCACCAACGTAAACAGTCGAAGTACGATCCACCGCTGTGTATATGCTTACTAACATATTCGTAATATGTATTAGCACTTGCCTCTGTGTAAGTTATTATGCTTAGTCACCCTTTTTAGGGGTGGATTTCGTAATTCGTCGTACTTGCACGTAATGATTATCTGTGGCACCTCATCGGTATGTCTCCCATTCGCGCGCATTTGAAGCACAATCACCTGCATGCAGCCCGCCTCACACCAGCCGCATATACATACGCGCAGGTGGCAGACGTATACACAGACGTGCCTGAGCTACAGACACTGCTACACACACTGGAAAGAGGAGAGGTGGCTGTTGACGCTGCCAGTAGCCTACCCCCGGTGGGTGTGGACATAGAGAAATGTCGATACTCACTGGCGTACGAATCACGTATGTGACAAATGGCTGCTTTTACATGGTAGTCATGATGAAAGATATGGGAAGGGTTTGATTGTTATAGTATGTAGGGGGTGGGTGCTTTGATAGAGTAGTTATGAAGTAGATGACATGGAAAGGGTTTCATATATCAATATATATATTTATATATATATGCATATATATATATATATATATATATATATATATATATCTATATGCATATATATATATATATAATATATATATATATA